AATGGTAATGACAAAGGTTGATCAAGTTTACAATCATGAAGAACATCAAGCCAAAACATGCTTGCGCCAGTCATCGACGTTTCTTGTTCAATAACAGCATCTGTAAAATTAAAGACAAGAATGTATTAGGCAAAAGAGAAAATTAGAAGTAGTATTTATAATTACAGTCGAGATAACGAAGATTAGTGTTGTCATCATATAACAGTTGACCTGTTGTATATGCTTGATTGAGATCATGAAGAAAGATATTCATTGATGGAAAATCAAACAAGGCATGATGGAAGTTGAAAACGACTACATCTTGGTCAGAAAGTAGATCATTTGAAGAGATTTGTTTGTAATAAACAAGATGACATCGAAAAATGGTACCCTTTTCAAGATCAAAAAGTTGATGATTAGATTTTTCTTCATGCATAATATCATTGAGTTGCTGCTGTGTTTCGTAAATGTTTTCGATGAATGCATGTGTTCGATTATTATCAAGATGGATGTCAACAATTCGTTGCATTAATGAGTCCTTTTCTGCATGAAAGTTAAGTAATGTACGAAATGATTGATGTTTTCTAACAATCAGCTGAAGAGCCTGTCGAAGTTGTTGTATTGATAAAGTATGTCCTTTATTAACACGGTAGAAAAAAGGCATATTGTAGATTGCAAGTTTTGGTTTATATGGATCAAATCGAACTCGTTCATCAAAACAAATGCGAGCTTGTGCATATGATGCTGGTGCTACAATCAATAATGAGATATTAATCAGTCATAACTGAAATTACGACTACATATTTCGATGATGTTGATGGCTGATGATGAAAGAATTTTACTGAGCTAACTGGAATGATGCATAAAACGTATAGAAAGTTGTAGAAAAACATTGAAGACCAGCTAACCTTGAAAGATTATAAACACAGTCAAGTCAGGCTATTGGAAATTATTTACAATAACAATTTTATTCAAATTCAGCATCGTTTTTAAATTATAAATTGAATTAGAAATATTAATATTTAGTTAATTAGTTTTTATGAGAATTTATGGAAGATAAGAAAGAAAGCTATTAACGCAGTCTCCGAATCTAAAATGCAAAACTTAAAATCATTGCGGTAACTAATAGAAAAAAAATCTCCTTAATAAATTAGGTGAAACCTATCTTGATTATAATTATCAATGTCTTCGCCTCATCAGACTTGCTTAAATTAAAACGTGTTTATTTCACGACTCTCTTCAATTTCCTTATAAACTAATGTTTGTTTTCAATCGATTTTCAGATATATTTACTAAATTTCATATTTTAGACTATGCTCGTTATAATATTGATCATATTTGTGGAGAAAAGAGAGATCGGTGGAAGTTTTTGCTTTTGTTTTAGAAACGCTTCTAGTTCGTGGTTGAGAGAAAAGGAGGAATAAGATAAACTTGATAGACAACCAACATACAACAATCGATGATGGTAGGTTATATATACCATGAAGTAAGACGTTATGTTAATTATGTGGGCTAACCAAAGATTTAGTATGATACTCAAAAAATTCACAACTAACATCAATCTCATTTATATCAGATGTGATGGCATGATTCATGTTCATAAAACGATTTTCGTGTCATTTTTACAGATTATTCATCAAAGATTATCTATTTCTTTATAAACAGAAATAAAGGAAAAAAGTATTATACGAACGTACCTTCATTGACAATATTCTGCTGTCGACAAAAGACAGCATCCTCAATTTCTTGAATTTCTACCGGTAAAATCAAGCTAAGTTTTGAGATAGATATAAGACTTGGATTACTTTCATTGGAAGTTAATTTTGATGAAAACAGTTGATCGACAAGATATTTCAACCGTTGAACTATGACTACAGCTGTTGGTTCATCAAATAGATCACGTGAGCAGGTTAGACTGAATGATAGTTTGCTCTCATCGGATGTTGGATTGTAAAGACAAGTCAAAGCAAAATCAAATTTGGCAGCACCATAAGATTCTTGTATTGGTAATTGCTGCAACATTCCTGTATCAAAAGACCATCGGCTCTTCTCAGGGACAGTGATAAAATTGAACGAAGTTTCAAGAAATGAAATGTTTGGTTGCTTAAGTTGAGAGTCAGTAAGAATGTGTTGTAGTGGATAATGAGAATGTTCAAGAACTGATAAACATTTTTCTCGCACATGTTCAATAAGGTCGCCAAATGACCAATCAGAATCAATTTGAATACGATATGGTAATGTTGAAACAAACATTCCAATCATATTCTGTAATTCAGTCCTGTATCGATTTGCATTATGACAAGAAATACATAAATCATTTTGACCATATGTTAGTTTGAAGAGAAATGTATAGAATGTAGCTAGACATAGTTGAAATGGTGTAACTTGATGTGAAGATGCATAATCGAGAAATGATGCCGCAGTCTCATTATTAAATGAGGTATGAGCAATGGAAGCATATCCAGATCGTTCATCACTATCTAAACAATGTCGATCAACTGGTAGTGTCAATCGACACTCTTGATTGTATCCATTTAGTTGAGAACGCCAAAACTCACGTGATAGTGTCATATCGATTAGATGCTCATGGACACTATAATCAATATATTGTAATGATTCTTCATCATCTAACCACGCCGCGTTACTATTGTAAATATTACAAAGATCATTTAAAAAAATTGAGCTGCTTAATTGATCGATTGCAGTATGATGAAAGCCGATAACGAGAACATCAGAATTTATAATCATTTCCTCATCATTATTTTCATCCGATATCATGTGTTGTCTGAGAATTTGACAATAAAAAACACGACCACTTGATAAATCGAACAAATTAGGATTAGTATTTATTTCTGAAATAATGTTGTGAAGTTCAGTTTCACTCTTAAATTTTAGATCGGCATCCAATGTAAATGTGAGATGTTTATCAGTGATAGATTGTTTTAAAGTACTATCATCATCATTGAAAACTACAGAAGTTCTTAATATCTTATGTTTGCTCAGGACACAACGAAGAGCTTGCAATAAGCGATTCACTGATAATAAACCTTTTGTAACTTGTAGAACAACCAGTTCATTGTAAATGGCAATTTTTCCAGAAAAGCGCATTTTCTCATCAAGAAATATGCGTTCTTGAGCATATGATGCAATACCTATAAATTAGAAGAAACATATTGTATCCTGATGCAGAAGTGCTTCTATATGCCTTACATTGATTAATATGTAGTGTGTGCCATTGTTTTGCTTCTATATTTTTGATCTTAATATTTTCTAGTAGTTCTGCATGTTCGGCTATGGTATTATGTTCAAAGAATGGCCGAGTATTTATTGTTTCGCCATCAAAATTAAATAACGTTCGATAATATTGATAGATTTGAATAAATAGGAGAGAATGACCACCGATACTAAAAAAGTTTGTTCGCGTCGAGATTCGATTACGATCAAGAACCTTACACCATACCGAATGAACAAGCATTTCGAGTTCATTTTTCGGTTCTAAATATTGACGATCAATAGCATTAGTCGATAGAACCGAGATATCAGATATTGGAAGACGCTGTCGATCGAGTTTTCCATTCGCATTCAAAGGTAATTGTTCCAAGAAGACGAAGATAGATGGTATCATGTATTGATGAAGATATTTATTGCAATAATTTCGAATTTGTTCAGTATCGAGCTCGGATTCTTTTGAGACCACATATGCGACAAGTAGATCATCATTTTGTGCTATTTTAGTGACAACACAGTCAGAAATCTTGCCAGGATACGAATTCGTAATTGTATTTTCTATTTCAGTTGTTTCAACACGTTGACCACGTATTTTAATTTGAAAATCAACACGTCCAGTATAAACAAGCTCTTCTCGTGTATTATATCGAGCTAGATCACCTGTTTTCATATAAACTTGATTATTTATGATCGGAAACTTCTTTTTGGTATTTTCAGAATCATTTAAATAGCCGTTGAATAAAATTGGTCCTTTTAAAAAATACATAATATAAAAGAAAACGATTGGGATGGATACTACTCACCTCCTATATGAATTTGACCAATTTTACTTGAATTATTTGTAGTATTAATAATTTTGCCATCATCATCGATTAGCAAACATTGTATAGTTGGGAATGGATATCCAATAGGAATATCTGTATCACTGATATTTAGCAATCGACATCCAAGAACTCCACTACTTTCAGACGTACCATATATAACACAAAGTTGAACATTGGAAGAACTTAACAAATTAACAAATTGAGCCCACTGTTGTGATTTCAATGGTTCGACTAAGTTATGCAAGACAAGTAAAAAATAAGATGTCAAAAATAGATCAAAAGCTTATCATTACCCGATGTACACAGATGGCGCACAGTATCGAATGTTTTCGTTTGCTGGGTATTTTCAATATAATTAGTAAGAGCTCGAATTATTGCAGGACCTATTATTAGCGTCGTTATTTGTTGATGCATTAGAGTTTGAGAAAAATAGGCCACATCTAAATGACCACCTGGTCGCAGAAGCACAAGAGTGCCACCAACGACTAATGGCAATGAGAATTCCACAATATGTGGAATCCATGAACATGTAGCAACTTGAAGGACGTGATCTCGAGCGGTATATACACCGACGTTCCATTGAATAAAAGCAGCAATATTAGCTGAGAAACTTTTATGTGTATGGACAGCTGCTTTTGGTTGTCCAGTGGTACCTGAAGTAAAAATAATGAATGCAGCACCATACTCCTTAAAAACTGGAAGATCATTCGCATCCTCGATAGTTAATAATGGAGAAAGAATATTGTCTAATATAATAACATGCTGAACAGTTGCTATTGGAAATTGATTACGAGTTTTCTCATGTACTAAAACATATTGACCTTGGATTTGTTCGAGAATTATATTGAGACGATCAGACGGTATTGCTGGATTTATTGGACAATACACTCCACCTGAATATATGATGGCCAAAAAGCCACATATCATTTCAAAACTTCGTTCAACGAATTGATAGATTATTTGACCTTGAACTACACCTAAGTGATGTAATTGATATACAACGCGTTCTACTTGCATGGCCAACTCGCTGTAAGTCCATACCTGGTCGTCAAGCACTATTGCTACCTTCTGAGGATATAACTGTGCAATATTAAATAAATTGCGTATTGTATAGCATGACGTTGTCATATTTGAATTAATTTGCTGAAAATTAAAATTGAAAGCTTAATCTAGAAATAATCGAATAGTATTTTGCGCTTCTATGTTCTGATTAGATTTCTTTATTACAAGAGAGGAAAAAGATCTTATGTAAAAAAAACTGATGCCGTTTCATCCAGTTCTACGTCTGATGATGATCCAATTTTGTAGAAAAGAAACTGAAATTTTTTGTAATGTGGAAAACTTAGTGTGTGTAACGTTTGGAACGGAGCCAGTCAATAGTTGGTTTTAGTGCTTTGAAGAGAAGTCCATTTTCATCCGCGGTGAGAGCTGCATTGACACAAGCAATTTGTTCGTCCAGTGCATGTTCACCATCATCCCAGATGTACGGGCGCTCTTTGCTAATAGGTACATTTATGATTGATCTAATCGCTTCGTACACCAGTCGAGTCTTGCTTGAAACCAATGGGCGAGCATCATAACCGCCTTCTTCGTCAATCAAGTTGGCTCGTAAATCAAGTGCTTGGACACAAATTAAGAGACATATGCTTAAGAGAGCGTCCATGACAGCACCAAGGAATCGAGGCACAAGACAAAAAATACTTTTATGCTTTAGCATGTGCATTTGAAAGATCATGTTTTGAAACTAACAAATCCA